GAGAGAGAGAGAGAGAGAGAGAGAGAGAGAGAGAGTGTGTGTGGTGTGTGTGTGGCCAGCTCAGCCCACCAGGGGGCGAGGCTGGCCGGCATGTGGTGCTGGGGGATTGAACCGCGGTCCCTGATGCTTTGCCAAACTTGTTCTAAGTAGGTGCTTTAGACCACTGAGCCATCTCTCCAGCCCCTCAAATTCTCTTAATGGTATTAATATGACCTTTTTCACAGAATAAAGTGCACACACAGAAGGTAGATTTTTTTAAAAAATAAAATATTCTCTGATGTGATGTTTTATGGCTCTAAGAGGGAAAATTACGTAAAAATGATAGCCTTGGGCCAGTGACATGGCTGGGTAGAGTCTAAGGGTCTCTCCAACTTTGATCCTAAGGCTTCTTTTTGTGGGCATATATATTTAGCTTTTCTCTTCCTCTGTTTTTATGTGCAGCTGCTTTTCTATAAGAACCAAAATGGAGAAAAGTAATATTGTAGTAGAAATAAACTATGTTTAGGTGTACCAATTAATTAATTTTTAAAAATGTATTTGGTACAGGGTCTCAGTACACAGCTCAGACTCATAGTGATTCTTCTGTTTTTAGCATCCCCAGAGCTGGGATTACAGGCATGCAACACCATGCCCAAACTCAGTGGCTGGCTCAGTGCATCAGGGGGTAGGGCCATCATGCCCTATGGTGCTGGGAACTTAACCATGATCCCTGCACTCACCTAAGCAGGCCCTTAGTCCACTGAGCTCTTTTGCTGGCCCATACCAATTAATTTAGTGTGAGTGCATGCGTGCGTGTGTGCACACACACACATGATTGAATCTACAATTAAATCTTAAGAAAATACTGTTTGACTGTCAGCACTGCCCCGTTTCTGGAATTGCCTTATTACAAAGCATTTGTATCCTTTCAGACTATGAATCTGAGACCACAAGGCAACCAGCCACTACCAAGCTCACCGGCAGGCCCACCACCAAGCCCACCACCAAGCTCACCACCAAGCCCACCACCAAGCTCACCACCAGGCCCACCACCAAGCCCACCACTGCTGTTGCCATGCCAAAGGTCATCCCTGAGGAAGGCCCCATCAATTCTTTCCCTGAAGAAGAATTTGATATGGCTGGGAAGAAACGATTTGTTGGTAAATATAACTTCTTAATCAGAGAAACATGGTTTTTAACTTTTGCCCTTTGAAAAGGAGCATAACTAATCTCTTGGTCTGGCCAAGGCAGTGTGTTTTGAGAAGAAATTTTCCTAGAGTAAAGTTTCCATTTGGGGTAATTCAGGCATTTGGGCCTGCTTAGATGTGTGTTAGTGTGTTTTCTGCAACAGTCAGAAGAGCTGGAGAGGTTGAGGGAGAACACTTGGTGTCTAATAGGACAGAGTTTATTGAGGAGCACTTGCAAATCATCAAGGCCAGGGAACAAGAGTATTTTTATGGTAGCCAGTCATCCTAAGATAAGAATTACTTATCTCTTGGCCTTGTCTGCATATTATTTATGAAATTCTTCCTTAGGCATTAGTAGTTTATTGAAGGGAGCCATCAGCAGAGATTGCATCCCAGAACCATATCTACTTCCTTTTGAGTTATTTTGTGTAATTTTCATTAGCCTCAAGGACTTGGGGCCTCAAAATCCATTTTTCTTTCTTTCTCAGAAATTAAAACAGTGTGAACAGGAAAGTCTGTGTAGTTCAAATGTGTTTCACTTCCTTCCCAAGTCTCCTGTTCCCAGGCCCCTAATGAACTTCATTAATGAGACAGTTGGATGACTATGTTACTAAGTGGAGACAAGCATTGGCTTAAATGAATACCATGTTTTTCTGTTTCCAAGACAAATGTCTTTCCATGATCAGAGAATGAGTTTTGCCAGCCAAGATGCAGTGACTGAATATGTAAACCATGTGTACTTGAAGAGCAAGATTGTAAAATTGAGGTAGCATTCCTGAAACCCATGCCAGTGCTTGTCTGTGGAGGGCATCATTCTGGCTGAGTCCACCAAATGCTCAGACTTTCTGTAACAATTCTGCAGAGAAATGGAAATGCTTTTAGTAGTCATATTAGTTCTGCCACTGAGCTCTTCGGAAGGCTGAACATTGTTATTGTCTGACTGTTTTCTTGCATTCAGTCCTAACAGCCATTGACAATGAGAAACTAGCACCAAAGATGCAATGGACTGTTTAGAAATTGCTAGACATTGCAGTGGAGAGCACTTCAGAGTCTCCCATGTAGAAAACCTCAACCTCAATTCCTTGGCATTTCTAACATTTTAAGAGTGGGATGTAATAAAAGGACCTTTGGACTGGAGGCGGAGTCTTCTATTTTGCCCTTGATTTTGGGCACATTCTCTCATTAAAGGGCTCAGCTATAATGGGTACCCACCTATGTCCTCCTCCCTGATTCCAAGGCTCCTTATATCCCTAGAGATCAGATGTGTGGGAAGAGTTTGAGCATGTTCATAACTAGCATTCCATAACTGTGAGTACCTACCAGACTGAACAGTGATATTGCAGTAGGCTGCTTGATCCTGGCCTTATATACAGATACAGACATCCCAGAGGACTGTGGCGTCTGTGAGTCCCCAGGGGAAGCCACCTAGGGTTGAAGCTCAAGGCTGTCATCTTGATTGGTGAGTAGTTTTCTCTGGTCCCAGGATATTCAGAGAAATGAATTATGAGAGAATTTTAGTTGACGTTAGTTAGGGTGGGCCTGACTCACACTTTTCTACATGTTCAGGCACAGAAATGGCAGAATGATAGAGGCTCACATTACATTGAATTACAGTCTGGGAATATTTCAAAATCACTTTGAGGATGCAGTCATCAATGTTGATGGGGAAACATAATCTTTTGAAACCACCAGACTGAAAAGTATGAACACATGGATTCTTGTAGGAGGAGAGAACTATGTTTTTGAGTTTGGCATCAGGACTGATGGCTTGGGATTCTCTGTCTGGCAGGAAAAAATTGAATGGTGGGTCTGACTCCACGGAGCAGATGCTTTGTTTCTGCTTACAAAAAACCCTTCAGCGTTCTAATTGGGTGCCTCTGTTCTTTTCTAGCTCCTTATGTAACATACCTGAATAAAGATCCATCAGCCCCATGCTCTCTGACTGATGCCCTGGATCATTTCCAAGTGGAGACCCTGGATGAAATTATTCCAAATGACTTGAGGAAGAATGACCTGCCTCCTCAGAGTGCTCCAAGGAACATCACTGTGGTTGCCATGGAAGGCTGCCACTCATTTGTTATTGTGGACTGGGACAAAGCCACCCCTGGAGATGTGGTAACAGGTGTGTCCTATGCAGAATTTCAGAGTTCCCAGTGATCTGTAGATGGGAAATATAGACAGTTAAAGATGGATAGATTCATAAACAGATGTACAGATGAACAAGTTCAGTGGGGAATGTAGGTGGCTTTTTTCACTGAGATGAAGTGTAGGCAAAAATGGAAGCTTCACTGGATGCTGGTAAGGGCCCTGGAAGGAAGTCAAAGTTCTAGATCCTAGTCCCAAATAGGTTTTCATGATCTTGAGCTAACTACTTCACTTCCTTTTGTCTTTGTTTTCTCACATGCAAAATATCATTATATCTCTAGCATCATATTATCCTGAAAGTGGCCAGTGAGTTCAGGGAGTCATTTATGAGATCGGATCTTATAGCAAGAATGGTAGAGCTTCTACCAACCCATGACTCTGCCTCTTTTCCTCTTTCCATGTATCTGGCTGCTTCCAAATCAGCTTGGATGCTGCCAAATTCCTTATATAGCAATGAAAATGATGCAAAGATGCCCATAAATGTTGGACCTTCAGGCACTGGCCTGTGAGATGTTCATAAGTACAGTGTCTATGAGGTTGTCTGTTGAAATAAGTCTAATAGAAAGAGAAATGATATTTTCTGTGAATAATCCCTTCTCTCACAAATTATTCTTTTTGGTCCCATCAGCTGTATAAGAGGAAGACATATATGTGTGGCTGTCTATCTAGCTTGAGTGAGCGGGGTGATATTGAGGGTTGGATGTAAACATTGTCTATCACTTTCATGCTAGTGTAATTAATATAGTTCTACATTACTAATACTTTTGCTAAAGTTCCCAATATTGTCTTTTAAAATAAGATAAAATGACTAAGCACAGATAAAGAAAAGTTTTCCTAGGGATTTTGTACAGGGGCCCCCAAACCAGGGAGAAAGGCAGAGGAAATAAAGCTTCTGGACATTCTTACAAGTGTGCTTGAAGCATGGAGGCATACAGGGAGAGTGTAGGATTAAGGAGTTTGAGTCTTTGGTGTATCCAAGTGTTCTGCTTACTTCATGATGTGTATAGAGATCAATTCCTACGTGTTCTTTTTTTTTTCCCATGGAACTGGGGATTGAACTCAGGCCCTTGCGCTTGCCAGGGAAGCGCTTATTCCACTGAGCCATCACCCCAGCCCCAATTTCTGCATGTTCTTAAAAGAAAGCAAATAAATCAATGGAAGGAGGAAAGCTTATAATCAAGACGGAAGGGCCAGAGAGATAGCTCAGAGGCTGGAGGGATAGATCAGCAGTCTAGGTAACTGCCTGGCAAGCACAAGGACCCAGGTTTGATTCCTGGTACTGCATGCTGTGCTGGCTCTGCCCCAGGTATGTGGAGCCTATCACTGAGACAAGGCATGGAGGCCCACACCTATAATCCCAGCTCTGGGAAGGCTAAAACAAGAGGATCACTGAGTCTGAGCTGCATAGCAAGACCCTGTACCAAATACATAAAGTTAAAAAAAGACAGAAAATTCCTTTATTAATGGAATATGGTTCTTTTGTGACATTTAAAAAAAATAAGAAAACATATAGAAAAAAGAATGGAACACCTGTGTGTGTGTGTGTGTGTGTGTGCATGCGAGTGTGCACGTGTGTGTATTTATTTATTTTTGAGACAAAGTCTTCCTATGTAGTTCAGACTCATTTTAAACTCACTATGTAGCCCAGACTGTCCTTAAATTCATGATGATCATCCTTCCTTACCCTTCTGAATGCTGGGAATGCAGCTGAGCATTTTGTTTTGAGCTCTTTAGCTTTTGATCTTTTGTGAAATAGATACTTCTTTACACAAATATGTCACTTTGCTCTGAGCCCAGGTTTCTGAAAGACATTGGCCATAGGGTGAGAGGTTAGCCACATTAAGGTACCTCAAGGCTCTTGAAGCAAAGAGAATGCCTTTGGAGACTCCCATAAAAAGGTGTCTGATCTTCATTCAGATGCACTTGTTCAATTATTCTGTAGAAGGTGGTCAGGTGGAAACACTTTCCTGTTAACTTTGCCATTGATCATTCTTTCCAAGCCCCTCAAGGCATCCAAGAAGTTCCAGTCCCCTCACATCATTCATATACCCTTCATCTTATACAAAATGATGCTGCACTATCCCAATCATAAGTATGGATATGAGTGAAGCATTCGTGGAGATTTGAGGATTCCCAATGTTAGGTTTTGCCATAATTAGCTCTTTTCAGGCTAATTATAGCGGAACATTTCAATGCATGGTGTCTCTGAGTACAGAAGAAAAAGAGAAGATAGTGGGAGCTCTTCATTAGTAAGTGAACTAACTGAGCAGCATCTCTTCCTCCGGCAGAACAGAGAAACCAAGTAGATACATCTCCCAACTAAATAGACGTCACATGCTGGGGTCCCACAGCAGACATTTGAACTTGGTGGCAATGTAAACTTAGAAGGCACTGTTGATTTTTGCTTGCAATTCCTTTTCTCACAAGCAACCAAGTCACCATATAACAAGGTGGCATCCAAGCAACATGAAACTTCTTAGGAGCAAATGTGGCTTAAACTCGTTGCTTTCTTAATCACTCCACGTGAATCATATGGTCTCTTGCTTAAGCATGATTCTGTAGGAAATCTTTGATATGATGACCTCAGTTTCTCAGGATCAGTTGGTCAGTCAATCCATTGTGTCTCAGTTACCCTTCTGTCATTGCCAGGACAAATTCGTGACACCCAAAATTAAGGAAGGAAAGGTTTATTTAGCTCACAGTCAATGGAGGTCTGAGTTCATGCTCAGCTGGCTCCAAGGCAGAGCAGCACATGGCAGAGAGCAACCTTTCACGGAGGTGGCAAAGAGCAGAGAGAAAATGGGAGGAGGAGTGGCAACAATGGCAACAGAGAGCAAGTCCGTCTTCATTAAGTTACATTCTGCCCCAGGCTGGTTGTAGTACTCACACCCATAATCCCAGCAGCACTCACACCCACAACCCCAGTAGATCATGAGTTAATCACAAACACTAGAAGTCTGCCCCATGACTGCATGAGGCTTTGGGGGGACAGCTATACATAAAACATAACACACTGCAACAGAACAACAGAGAAGTCAGGAGTTATACTGTGCTAAGCAAATGCATTAGCAAAACCCCAAAGTCTCAATAACCAGACATGAAGAGTACCACACACCACAAGCACAAGGGCAGCATGAGGTACTGATGGAAGCCAAGGTCAAAGAATCTGAGCTTCACCAAGCCCTGTCAAAGCTGAGTTTCTATGGCACAAACATGAGCCTCAGTGCAGTGCTGCGAGGGCCATGGTATTCACAACAGTCAGTAAGCATGTCTGGTGTGACTTCACTGTTGTCAGAGGAGGAGGGATTCTATGGAAAGAGTAGCAGTCATGTTAGTCAGTTTTCTATTGCTACAACAGAACACTTGAGACAATTAACCCTTAAAGAGAATTTTGGCTTATGCACTTGGAGTTTCCGGGCCAATCTCAGATAGGCCTATTGCTTTTGGCAATGGTAAGGGGTTTGTGGTAGAGTAAAACTTCTGACCTTATGGCCAGGAAGCAAAAGTGAGAAAAAGGAAGAGGTCAGGTCTTTTTGAAAGTACATCCCAATGACTTAGGGGTCTTCTCTAGGCTCCATTTCTTTCCCAGTATTTCCAGTTGGGGACCAAGTCTACAAGACATGGGCTTTTACATGGGCCCACAGGGGACACTTATCTGAACCGTAGTAGCCTCACTTCAAGGGTTTCACAAAATATTTGTTAAAAAAATATTGGGCTGGCCAAATAGCTCAGCAGGTTAAAGCACCTGCAAGTTGGCACAGGGGCTAGGAATTTGATCCCTGGGCCTGCTGTGCTGGCTCTACCCTCAGGGTGCACTGAAATGGCGATTGAGATGGTGTGGTGGCACGTGCCTGTAAGCCCAGCTCTTCAGGGGATGTAAACAGGCGGATCACCATGAGTCTGATCTAGTAATGAGACCCTGAACAACCTAGAGACCCTTCCTTAAAAATACATACACATATAGTCTTCCAAGAAGCACTATGGGAAGGGTTTCAGAGCCTGTCCACCTTGCTTCTGGTCCCATCTTACCCATGTGTTAGCTGTGCTGTGGTGTAACTGTGTGTGCCCATGGGCTGCTAAGTAAAACAAAATTTATCTCTTAGATGCTTTTGATGCTGTTGACCTTCCTCTTGACTTTCATGGCTCAATTCATGTCCTTCAGGGCACTGACCACAGTTGCACAATTCTGCTGTGCACCCTGCACCCTACTGTTTGTTGGGTTCTTGGCATAAGGTCTGACAAATAACAGTTGCATAATTTTAAATTAGTGAATGTGAACTTACCAAGGCATTTAACATATTTCTAAGAATCAGCTTATACATGCATCAAAATAGGTTAGCAATATCTTCACACAAGGATCTTAAAAATGGGTTTAAGTGGTTGGGAAGTGTTGTGCTTGCCAGTAATCTCAGCACTCTGGGAGTTTGAGGAAGGGTGATCAGGAGTTTGAGCCTAACCTGGGCAACTTAGTGATTTATGTCAAATTATAGATGTAGAAAAGAGCTGAGGATTTAACTCAATGAAAAGGTAATGGGTTCAACCCTCAGTACCTACAAAAAAAGAAAGAGTAAATTAAAATAAAATAAAACTTAATTGCAAAAATTTAACATGGTCTGTGACATCTAGGAAAAATGCTTGAAAAATGCATTCTTTTGTGTACACATAAAAGACTAGCATAAAGACACACTGAAATGTGATATGGACTTCACTTTGTCTTTTTGAAAGCAGTACATGTGACAGGGCTGGGGTCCACCTGCAGAGATCTATTCTTAGCAAATATGACAGGGCAGGTTGGATGGCAGGAAGAAGAGCTGCCTGGCTGCTGGGTTTTAAAAGGTCAAGGGAAGGCACAGACATCCCACAGCTGGAAAACAGAAACCAAGCGGGTGAGGATGGCTGTGAATCTGGGGTCATTTGGCCACATTTGCTTACCCAGCATGTACTGCCCATAGTCTTCATTTGGAAATTCTTAAGCATTTGTGTGGAGGTTGCTACCTTGCTCTTCTGTGTGTTTTCTCTCTCTTTGGTCAAGATTAGATGTGATTAGCTCTGAGTAGTTGGGGAAAGTTAGGGAAGGAAGGAGAGACAGAGAAGGAAAAGTAGCAGGGACCCAGCAGGTCAGTGGGGAGTGTTGTGATTTTGTTGCATCCATCTGGATTGACCAGAAGGCATCAAATTTCTATCCCATTGTGTCCCTTTCCAGACATTCCCCATTGAGCTGCCTGTGTGCCTTGTTCTACTCACTCTTCTGGGTGACTGCCTGTTGGATGTTCATGGGCTTCCTTCCTATTTCCATTTCCAGGGTATCTGGTCTACAGTGCATCCTATGAAGACTTCATCAGGAATAAGTGGTCCACTCAAGCTTCATCAGTAACACATCTGCCCATTGAGAACCTGAAGCCAAATACACGGTATAATCTATCTGTCATTTAGAAACAAACAACCAAAAGATGAAGGCTGTGTGTGTGGTTATAGATACACTTTGAAAATGAAGGATTAATCACATTATGGTGAATTTTCCATTTAGTTCTCATAGAATATCTTTGAATGCTTTCCATGTGTCATATATTTTTCTTAGGAATAATTGCTACATATATTGCAATTGTCAGGGTATTGCATCTCTATGTTGCCTATTTTCCTAAATACTACCTACTGCTAGGGAAAGAAAAGTTCTATGTATTGAAAGAGATTTGATTTCAGTTTTAGTCACCAGTATGTTGGTATTATGCAATATAGTCTTTATTAGCAGAGCAGCATTTGCTAACTATTTCAATTAACTGGTACTTAAACTCTCTGGCAAGAAAATCCTGGTCTATAGCATTTTCCTATTTCTGTCATGTAAACACTCTCATTATAGGAAACTTCAAGCTATTACTGCCATGCAGAATTCCTGTGTAGGTCACGATTGACTCTTACAGGCCCTTACAGATGAAGGCACCAGTGTTGTGCTGGGTCAGTGGGCTTGCTTGATAAAAAGCTCAGAGTGCCCAAAGGTGGCCCTGAAGTCTCTCATTTCTTCCAAGAGGAAGACTTGGTGAAGGTTGAGATAAAACACTCATTAAACAAACAAATACTCAAGAGGATGAGACCTGAATAGCTCAGGGCATCGAGAGGCTTCTGAATGAGATGAGATGTCTCCTTGGGACATTTTCATTTGCCTTGTAGGCTCACTTGGACAGAGTTTTCATAATCTGTTGTGAATTTAAGAATTTGGCAAATTAAAAAGTAGTAGACCATGAAGCTGAGAAAGCAGTTTTTTACCAATAGTGATGAGAAGTTGATCAGCCAGAGAAAACAAAAATGATAAAAAGTAGAGAAAATGGGGTCAACACCCTTCTTATGGGGTGCAAGACAGTGTTTTTATAGCACAGCTACCAAGTCAAAAAGCTGAAAGCACCGTTCAGATGTTCTGCCACGTAACTATTGCGATAGTATTTGAATTGCAGCCTCTAACCCCCACTCCCAAGCACACTGCTGTCTCCAAGACTCATGCTGCTATATTGAAGTTTATTTTGAATAATGTCAAAAGATGACTCCATAGGATGACAACTCACTCACTTTTGCAGCAGTTACCTGTCCTTCAATTTATCCAATAAGTTCTCCTTGAATGTTCACTCTGGGCCAGGTACCATATAAAAAAACAGAGTTTGGGGTGTGGAAGTGAAATATTCATAGCTTTCATAGAATTTATACTCCTGCTCTCACAGAGCTTACTGGTAGAGGAGATAGAATTTTTTTTAAAGACTTTGATGTTGTTGATACAGGGTCTTGCTACAGAGTCCAGACTCTAGTGATCCTCCTGTCTCATCCTTCCCAGGGCTGGGATTACAGGTTTGTGCCACCATGCCTGCTTTCAGGGCTGAGCACAGTGTGCCTGGGGCTCCAGGGGCCAGCATGGCACATGGTACTGGGGATTGAACTTGGGACCTTGTGCTTGCCAGGCAGGCGCTTAGACCACAGAGTTATCTCCCCAGCTGGAGACAGAATTTGTAAAACCAACATAAATCTGAACTTCCCCTGGTTAGTGTCTTGAGGAAGAAGAACATCTGCTAGGAGAGTACTGAAAATAATGGCACTTTTCCCCACCCAAAGCCTGAGGACAGAGAAGGCAGTCAGGTAACTTCCTGGGAAAGCTGGGTCTAACACATAGGCAGAGGTTAAGCTGGAGAAAGGGTAGTAGGATTCCAAAATTGCTTCTGGCAGAGGATGCCCCCAACACGTGTTCTAGAAAGAATGGGAGGTTCAAAGGAAGGCTGGTTGGACAGTGGGGCCTCCTCCCTATGCAGGCTCTTCTGCCCCCTCCCAGGGTGTGTCTTCATTTGCTTTTGGGGATGAAGGCAGACTAGCATGCAGCACGTTTGGCTCCTCCAACTCAAATGTCTTCAAAACCCCTAACAGCACCCACATTTCACAACCAGGACAGCAAGACTGTGATGTGAGGCCACTCATTTTTCCTGTGTTACCTGAATGCAGAGTGACTCTGGGGTGTCTCTTTGGTGTCTAGATGCACATCTACTGAGTCAGTGTCTCCTCTGGTGGCATCTCTATCCTTCAGGCCTCTGGAGAACCAACCTCAGAATTGGCCCAGGACACGGGAAGTCAGTCTGTGCAGAAGAGTCAGAGTCTAATAGCTTTGGTTGTTTATAGTTGGATCTTGTTTTTGTCTTGAAATGAGCATGATCTAACTTCTTCATGAACTTCAGACCTGGTAACCATCTTCAGTCTGTAAATTTTCAATCTATTCTTCTTGTACCAAGATTTGTCACCACTAAGGCTACTCAACGCTGGTGCCAAAAACTTATACAAAAAGGCAAGGACTGGGCTGCTTTTTTTTGCTTGTATAAGGCAGAGGGGACTATTATTCAGAGTATGAAATACATATTTAATTTATTTTATTTTGGCGGAAATGGGGATTGAACTCAGGCCCTTGCACTTGCCAGGGAAGTGCTTATTCCACTGAGCCATCTCCCGGGCCCTGAAATACATATTTTAGTTGGTAGAAAAAGTATACTGTGGTTTTTAAAAATGAGAATTTTACTGTTTTCATAATTTCATGTTGTTTTTCAGCTCAACATATTTAAATTTACTTGGACGTGGTAGGAGAGGTTCACATGGAAATAAATCTTTAGATTTAGCACATGGTGCCTTTCCAGAGTACTAGAATCTTATGTCAACAAGGGAGTTGGATTTGGAGAACACTTAGGTGTTGGTGGTGAAACAAAATTGATACAAATGAATCTGAATGATCTCTCTCAGCTTCCTGGTCATCCTTTCAATTGCATTAAGGTGATTCCTCTGTGGAGCTAGGAATAATATTTTAGGACAGTTCCAGCAAGGTCTTGTTCAGTAAAAATGTTGACATTGCCTATGAATATGGGCCTTTTTTTATGTTGTATTTTCCTGAAGGAAAAAAAATAAAACAACAGAATGTGTAAAATTTGATGAACATCATTGATGTGGGCCAAACCCATTGCTTGAGTTGCCTGCAAAAATTTGCCTTAAATTGCTACAACTCCTGAATATGTGTGCATAATTGGGGAAATATGCTCTGTTGAGTGAACTGAGATTTGGAAACACATATGTTCTTAATTGAGCATATCTTTTATTAAAGAACTCATATTGAAAATGCTCTATTGAGATGTGAATAACTTGTGAAGAATTCTCTTACCAAGTGGTTTTCCTTTGCTTAGTAAAACCCACAGGAAAACATCACTATGTACCTTCAGGCCAGGGACAGTCTCGGTGATCTTCCCTGCTAATAGGCCTGTGGCCAGGGCATTCAATGAACATAACCCTTCATCTTCTGCATGGAAAAAGTTCAACTTTTGAAACCTTTGTGCATTTTAATTAGTACATGAAACCTACTTAATCGAAGAAAGAATTTTGTAATATTTAAATGTGACATTTTGCCGGTCAGAAGCCAGAGGAAATGACTCTGAAAGGTGCAGTTGGAGTCACTATTCACAGGGATGCGTTACCCCATTTTTACCCATATGTGGTGAGGTCCTAGGAAATCCAGATGATATTTGGAACCTCAGAGGTAAGAAATCATAAATATTGAGAAAGATACAGTGGGTCACAACTCTAGTGCTGATCTCCATACTTCTCTAACCGCTGTTTTTTATCTCTTCACCCAGGAGAAAGATATTTAGGGTTTAGTCTCTCTTTTGATGAGCTAGCAGACACAACAGTAGGCTTTCTAGCACACTCGCTGCTCCAAAGCAGATTTTAGTCCTACAGCAAAGCCTTTCTTACCAGGCCTTTTCCACTTTTCCTTCCTGGACTCAGTTCTCTTGCCTAGAGAAGCAGAAAGTCATAACTCAGTGATTTGTAGGGCACACATTTGTGGCTGTAGAGCCAGCCACAGTGCTTATCGTGTGCTTAAGACATTGTTGCCTTGGGTCAGTTCCCCTGAAGAGCCCCGCATCTGGCCTGGTGTACTCTCTGCCTGCCAATCACAAGTTGCATCATGGTTGGGCCCAACATTTTGCTTTTCCACATGAACTTCAGTGATCAAGTTGAGATAACATTTCAGTTCTTCTCTGAATGCTTTGTTCCTCCAGCTCCATCTTTGTGCCTGAGGGGCTCAGGGGCATGAATCTTAAGAACAAGAGCAGGGTCTCCTTAGGGATGAACTCAGCAAATTCCCCTGCAGTGGCGAGCATGTGTTGTTCTAGGGAACACGTCCTATTTGAGCCACACCTGCTTGTCTCATGCACTTCTTCTAATCCCATTATCCATGTGTCTGTGCTGTGTTAATTGTATTATTTCAAAAAGTTATTAAAATGGGAAAGTTTAGAAAATTATGAAGACTATTAGTGATATGTACATTTGTAAAAAAAAAAAAAAAGTGACTCCAAGTCTGCCACACTATTGATGCTGTGTAATCTTTCTCATTACATAGGAGTCAAATAAAATTCTCTTTCAAAAGATGTTTTCTTCCAATTTCAGGTATTACTTTAAAGTTCAAGCCAAAAATCCTCATGGTTATGGACCAATCAGCTCTTCAGTTTCATTTGTTACAGAATCAGGTATGGGCAACTTCATTTTTTTCTTTATTTTATTTTTCTTAAAAATCATATAAGTAATGTAGCATAATGACTATAACAGAGTGAAAATTAAAGTAGCAAAATCCTTACTTTTCTATTTAATATGTCGATGTTGAACATTTCTTTATAATAACAAATAGTATTTTCCTTCTGTTAGGTTAACACTTTGCATGATAAAATTACATAAAATTATCAACTCTCCAGGGAGCACAAAAGTCATTCCTCTAAGAGGAAAAAATACAATTTTCAACCAGGTGGGAAAGATAAATGTGAATGCATCTATCAGGACAGAGCTTAGTTTCAAGTTTAAAATGTTTCTTTTTATTGCAAACAACTAAAGAACATCCTGTCAGGTGGCCTAGGAGGCAGTGGTTTCTTCATTTAGCCAAACATCTAAGATGTGAGATCCTATTTAGTAAGAGATGAAGATGTTGGACAATTAATTTAAACAGCATTCATTCTTACAAGAAGTATATATCATTTGGAGCATGCTAGCATGCTAACGGGTAGAGCTCTCAGGCCCATCAATAAAATCTTCACAGGCTGGAACGTGACGCAATAGACATAGTGCTGGCCCGCGGTGACAGTTGTTAGTTCAGTGGCTTTCTATCTAGGAAGCTGAGCCGGATTCTGACCAACCTTGCTGACTTAGCCCTGCATCTTCAGGGTATCCATTTGGTCAGATTATTTTTTTGCATGTGGCCTATTGCAGGGAAATTTGTCACTAGAAGATATTATTAAGTATTATGAATCAATATATGTGAACAAAGTAAAATCTAGTGTGAGAGCATGCTTTTTACTGGAAATGTAGGCAGAGGACTTTAAAGCTTTTCAACTATTTTCATGTAAGAAATACATTTATTATTAACAATTAACAAGAAAACAGAAAAATTATCAGTGGTTAATTTTCTAAGGTAAGGAATATGTATATATTTATGACTGTATTTTACAAAATCAAAGTGTATCTTTGGCAAGTTATCAGAATAACTTGATCAAGGGTAAAAATAAAAAGTAACTAAAATCCAAAACACTACCAAGAAACTCTGATCTGAAATCTATTTGAGGGTAGGGAGCATGCATGTAATTTCTGTGTGTAATTTCTAGACTGGTAAATAAATTTCTGAAAAGCTAGCTTTAATCTACTCTGTTCCCTAAGTAAATCCTCCACTCTGTGTCCTATGCGGGATTCTATGTAAAGACCTCATTTCAGGTTGTAAATAATTTTGAGGGTGAGATCCACAAAACTCATGTTCAGTGAGCTCCTAGGAGACCTTCTCACACTCAGAAAGTCAACTACTGTTTCCTGAGGCCATTTTCACTTTACTCAGTTAGCTTGCTCGAGCCTCTTTCACTGTCACTCTACTGAAAGTGATTAGGTTACAACAGGAAAATCAAGTAAGTGAATTATGACATTTGCCAAATACAGCAATGTAAAAATTGATGAAGGAAGTAAGTGTATGTGTGCAGCTATGGATCTACTGTGAGATCAGGGTTTTTGTTGTCTGTGCTGCTGTTGATTTGAATCGTTCCTTTCCACCTCACCCCAGAATATTGGAGAGTTTTCTAGCATTGATAAAAGTTAAGGCATCAAGAAAAGGAGGCAAAATGAGCCCTTTCTCCTGGAGCTGATGCCAAATCATTCAATTTTGCACATATTATAAAATGACACCAAATGAATACTCTGTACAAAGAGCATGGAGATTTGGGGCTATGGAATACTCCAATGCTGATTTTGGGAATTTTAAAGACACTATACATGTTAAATTTTATAGGATGTTGGGGATGTGGGACAAAACTCATTTAGGATACTGACCCAGCATGGGTGGTATGCTGGACTCAATCCTCAGCACTGAAGATTTCATACACCTAAAGGGGAAATTTACAATGTGACATGTTTTCAAAAATGAAAACAATGCTCTATGTTTATTTAGCCCTTGATGTTTTGTAAAAACAAACATTTTCTGAAGCAGAATTCCTTGAAACACAATTTTCACATTCTCTTAAATGCTATTATTTTAACTAAGGTATAGATGGTTTTTTTTTTGTGGTTCACTGTTTTTTTCCCCATAATTTTATTGAGAAACAAATAGCAATGAGACAGTTTCAAATCAAATTGGTAGGACAGTTTCAATAATTAACACATTGCATACTGTCTTCCTAGTGGTTATTTGCTGTACAAGATGCAGACATGATATCCTATTTACAAACACTATTAGAACAAATGTTTTGAAAAAAGCTTTATTGTAGTATAAATGGCATATAATAAGCTGTAGGTTAATAGGTCTTGAATTATATTTATATCCATTAATTCTCACCACTGTCAAGAAAGTGAAAAATTCCATCATCCTCACAGCATCTGCCTGCTGAGGAACCTAACCTGCCCTCTCCCCCTTCTACTAGTCCTGCCTGTTGAGAGGTAGCTTTTTGTCACTATATTTTCTACCTTCTAGAATTTTACATAAGTGCCATACAGTATGTTCTCCTTTGACCAGCTTCTGTCAGCATAACCATCTGATAATTCATTCCACTTGTTGTGTATATCAATAGTTCTCTCTTATCACTTCTTGGTCTTTTGGCTAAGATGAAGTGTAATAGTTCTCTCTCTCTCTCTCTCTCTCTCTCTCTCTCTCTCTCTCTCTCTCTCTCTCTCTGTATTTTAGTACAGAGTCTGCAGGGTCTCACTATGTAGATCAGACTTGTGGTGATCAGCCTGTGTTCAGTCTCTCAAGAGCTGGGATTACAGGCATGCTACACCTTGCCCAGTCTCAATCAGTGCACCCCTGGGGTGGGGCCAGCACAGCATATCTGGGATCAAACCCTGGACACTGTCTGCCTAAGCAGGTGCTTTAATCCGCTGAGCTACTTGGCTGGCCCTAGTTCATTCTCTTTTGGCACCATGAATCTCATTATACAGCTATGCCACAATTTTTTAAGTCCAACACTGTTGATGAACATTTATGTTGCTTCTGCTTTTTGGGTTATTACAAATAAAGATGCTATAAGCATTTATATACAAGTGTTTGCATGGATGTATAGAAATATACTTAATTTCTTTAGGATAATAAATAAAAACAGAATGGAATAAATAAGTAAACACTTCTAAAAACCACTCAGGGGTTTTCAGGGAGATTGATCTTTTGCAAGGAGGAAGTGGACCAAGAGATGGAGAGAGGGAGGGAGGAAAGGGGACATACGAGAAGGGTCCATGTCCTGCAAACATGTATTAATAAAAATTAAAATTACAAAATAGAATCATTATGTAGCACCCAATGTCAAAATACTATTTTCAGGGGCCTTCAGTTTCTATGTAAATAACAAAGGAGTTAACCCAAAAAAGTATTTCTCAAAAGAAAATGCTTTGGAAATAAACATTAAGGGAAAACTTTGGCATCTAATACATAAAAGCTTAATTTTTCTGTACTCCAGTTCGGTCAGCTGTTTCAATTGCAGTCAGTATTACACCATTTGCATGATTGTGAGATGTGGTATAAAGTCAATTATTTCTTTTTTATTTTACAGACAATCCTCTCCTTGTTGTGAGGCCTCCAGGTATGTTTCTCTCTTTGATGGTCTCAACACTCTGATTATCAAGATGAATGTGGAATATGAGATTTCTGTGATTACTCTCAAGTAAAAACACGAGGCTGTTTTGGGCTTTTCATAATTTTCTGACAATTTCTACTCATCTTCCATGTCAATTTATGGAAAAATGATTGTGGGAATTTCTAAAATAAGGCTATAGCAGTCAGTATTGATGAAAAAGCATGATAGGGTAGCAAGGTGTCTGTGAATAGACACTTCACAGAATTCAGAAGAACATTTTCAATTGCTGGAAAGATAACAAAATGCATTAAGTGTGCAATGAAGTTTCACTTGTTGTTTTTCATACAAACTGAGAAATTTCTGTTTTTAAGTTTAAGGCAGACTTTGCTAGGGGCAAGATGAGAAGGGATCTTTAGTGAGGGGCTTAGGGACAGGGTTCCTTAGTCTCAAAGTGCCTCCTTTGCCACTGTTGCTGATTTCCTTTGAAACCTAGGCAGTGCTTAACTGTAAGAACTCTTTATTGAAATTCAAAGGCCTGAAATAAATGTGCTTACCTAAAGGGGGCCCCCCAAAGTTGTTGTTTAGTATTGAAAAAGAAGAAGGAAGACACAGAAGCTGCTCATTGGGGGTGGGAAAACTTTGCAAGGAAGCATGCAAGAAGGGAAAGGGACAGTGAAGGAGTCTACTTTGGTGTACTCTGTACAAGAATAAATAGTATGTGGCACTGTAACTTACAGGTTGTGCTTTGTGTTGTCAAGGTGGTGAGCCCATCTGGATCCCATTTGCTTTCAAGCACGACCCAGGATATACAGACTGCCATGGCCGGCAATATGTGAAGCGGACGTGGTATAAAAAATTCGTGGGAGTCATTCTTTGTAACTCATTGAGATACAAAATTTACCTCAGTGACAATCTAAAAGGTAGGTCTTTGGCTATGACAGGTATGGAAAAGTTGGATTTTACAGGTGTTAACTTGACACAGAAGGTACATCAGAATGTACTCGAGGCTTGGACCCCTTATGACTTCCTCTTGCTGATGTAAGAACCAGTTTCATGGGCTTTACTTTGAGGTTATGAGTTTTTAACCTAAGAGTTCAAAACTATATTTTTAAAACTCAACTACATTTTAGAAATGAAACATAAAGTTCTGTTATGAATATATATATATATTTATAAAGATGCTATAAATATTTATGTACAAATGTTTGCATGGATGTATAGCAATACACTTAATTTCTTTAGAAGAATAAATAAAAATGGAATAGTCTATCTATCTATCTATCTATCTATCTATCTATCTATCTATCTATCTATCATCTCTCCAATAATTTCAACACTTGGGAGGCTGAAGCAGGAAGGTCAGTTTGAGTTTGAGATCAGCCTGGGCTACATAATGAGTTGAAGGCCAGCCTGAAGTATATAGCAAGACCTGGTCTCAAAAGGAAAAAAGAAATAAAACAAAGAAAAAAAAAAGAAAAACTGTGAAAACAAAATTCCTCCAGCCAACCCCCTTTCACATTCTGGACATTTCTATGTATCTATCTCTCTTCAAAATCACTGTATATTTTTGTCTCTCTGTTCTTTCTTTTTCACCCTTTTCCTTCTATTCTTCAGAACTGCTAGGAAAGGTTGTACAACCATCTCTACTGTCCCAGGCTAGGGACACAACTTTGCCCTAGTATGCTGCTGTGGTTCAGGACCATGGACAGCACTGTGTGTCAGACTTGCACCCTGCTCAATACTAGTGAAAACAGACCCTTCTGCAAACTTAGCAGACCAAAATTAGAGAAAAAGGAGGGCTGCAAAGAAAGCCAATATTTTGGCCCAAGCCTTCCAAGGTCAATTAAGACTCAGGATATATGAGAACTTGTACTGTAATGTCATGTAACTCAGTAGTGTCCCAAATTTTCTGATCAAGGAGATTATGGGGCCAAAGAGGAAAGTGATTGATGATGTAGAGTGTGCCTAAGGAGAGTCACATGGAGAGAAAACATTCTCTCAGGCTTTCACAAAGAGCACATTGGCCAAGCAATGGCCGTGATTCATCCACATGGCTGACACGGACAAAGGTTCTACAATCTGAGCTACGGATCTCAGGATAAATCCTGAGGGGATTTCACTGACCTTATCAGACCCAAAAGCTACAACTCTTGTTGCATAGGTCCTGCTTTACCTTGGTCTTAACCATCCAGCAGAAAAGTATAAAAACAAAATATAGGGGCCGGGGAGATGGCTCAGTAGGATAAGCGCTTGACTGGCAAACGCAAGGATCTGAGTTCAATCCCCGGTTCAAAAAAAAAAAAAAGAAAAGAAAAGAAAAACAAAGTATAAGAAGTAAAGCCACACTATTATGTTGAGCTGTAGGGGACTCAGGTCAACAATTTCTGACATTGCCAGTCAAGTGGAAGACCCAGTACTATTATGGACTACTAGACTCTTTTAGAATATTTTGCTGAGATTACATACCTATAATATTCAAATAATGGAACTAAGCAAGAAAAGGGGATACAGACGAATGTCCATTTTGTATCTGTGTATTCAAAATGGTTAGGATAGATATATACTTACATTCTCTTAATGAATAGAGGGATTTATTCTAATAGTGTTTGTAAATAGGATATCATGTCTGCATCTTGTACAGCAATTAACCACTAGGAAGAATGTATGAAATGTTTTAATTATTGAAACTGTCCTACCAATTTGATTTGAAAGTGTCTCATTTCTATTTGTTTCTCAACAAAATTATGAAAAAAAATCCAGACCCTTCTATTTATGTGGACCTGCCTCCATTTCCTAATTATTTCACAATCTATTCTCAAAAATAGTTTTCTTCATTTCATTTTTAAAAACTTAGACATTAAAAATTGCAAGCACTTATAGACTGAGGTTGCCTATCTCGTTCATACTTTTCACCTTCTGAATGTTTGTTAGGTATTTGGTACACATGATCTTGCTGAGTCCTTATAATATTGAATGAACTTGTTGCCATTATCATTATTTTCAAGCATGCAAGAAATGGAAAGCAATAGTTTAAGTAATATGATCGATCCAAATTCTCCAAAGCTTGTTCAGTTCCTAAGCTAGCTGCAACATTCTTTGACTTGTCTGTGAATTATTATGCTGTTTTATGCAGACACATTCTATAGCATTGGAGACAGCTGGGGAAGAGGTGAAGACCACTGCCAGTTTGTGGATTCGCATCTCGATGGAAGAACAGGCCCTCAGTCCTACATAGAAGGCCTTCCTAAGATTCAAGGTAATCTGACCAATGCTTGCTACGTTGTGCTGCACAAGGGCCATGGAAGAGCAATATGCAAGGAGCAAATTCACTGTAACTCTGCTTATGATTTATGATTTGAAACAGATGTTGGGAATACTCTGGATGATAAGAATATAAATAAATCAAGGAACCAAAAAAATTCCTATTAAATGGTAGTTTTGGGTGACTTTGAGGACTTAGCAGTACAAAGGAATATATAAGATCTCTGTCCCAGGCACATGCTTTTTGAAGTGCCAAATGAACCAAATATGTAAAAAATAACGAAGAGTGAGAATATTGACATAGAATTACTGATATTTCTTATGATCATCCTATTGTCAGATAACTGTGCATGTTGCCATCGCTGTAGGCAGGAGGCAGCTATCTGAGGCTGTTAGGGAATCTTCAGCAGAGGCAGAGTCTAGACTGAGTCATAAAGACTCTTGATGTGCAGAATGGAAGGTCTTCTTGGGGAAGTTGACATAAATGCTAGCATAGAGAAGGAAAAGATGAACATGCAAACGTATCTACCAGGGTAGGCTTCAGAGATAGTGTACCATATCTGAGAATGAAATTATAATGTTAGGGCAAGTATACTGATCTTTAGGGTTAGCAACTGGCAGTATATTGCTCTTTCAATCTACTAAGAAAACAAGCAGAATAATGGAATAAAATCCAGTACCTTTTCCTTTTATTAATCTGTCATTTTCAGGATATGATATGTGTTGATCTATCTGGAAAAATATTGTATGAACTACTTATTTGAAAGAATTAAAATACAGGAAACAATAAAATGAGTGTATCAGGGCTCTCTGACCTAAAGAAACAGAGTCAATAGGACTTATCTCTCTAGAATTACCTTAAGGAAGTGGTTCACATGGAGGATGGCAGCGTGGAAAACCTGCAGAGTAAGTAAGCAAGCTGGAGGCGCAGAGAAGAGCTGATGTTATAGTTCAAAGTCTGAAAGCTATCTGGAGTTAGAATTCCCTCTATTTGTAGGGTTAGGGGTATTAAATGATTGTCTTTTAACACTTTGAACTAATTGAATGAGATGCATCCACATTGCAGAGGGTAATATGATTTCCTAACTCTGCTAATGTAAATTTTTATCTTATCTGAAAATATATTATTGATTAAGTAGTATGCTGACTGTTGGAGTAGCAGTTAATCATGTATTTGGCAAGAGTACACAAGACCAAGAGTGAGAGCAATTGAAACACCTCTCAAAAATTTTTGAGGAAGTTGGAGCATCTTTTCTACTTCAGAAGAGAAGTGACTGGAGATGCTATAGGATTCTCACCTTTGGGAGATTTCCTGAAAAGGTTTGAGAGTCTGTCCCAAATTCTATGCATTAAAGTCACTGAGTTTTGCGGATTTGCAAGTCACAGGCCCTAAACTCAATGAGGGCCAGGTGGGGATTTTGTTTTGGTGTTGTTTCCCCAGATCAGAACCTGTCCCCAGTGAGTGCTTCTAGTGATTGGTCGAAATTATTTTGCTGGGAGAGACAAAAAGAGGGACTAAATTCTCCCCACAATTCATGCTTGGGTAAACGTCTCAAAAATGGCTGTTTATTCCTAAGTAACACTTGCTAACAACAGTTTATACAATTTTTCTATCTAAAGGGAAGTTTTAAGGAGGAAAATCTTCCTCTTGGTGGAGTGACTTTGATGCATATTCTTCCCCTCTCTTTCCCATCACCCTTGCAGGTTACTACCGACAGTATCGCCAAGAGCCCGTCAGCTTTGGCCACATCGGTTTTGGCACCCCCTACTACTATGTGGGCTGGTATGAATGTGGGGTCTCCATCCCAGGAAAGTGGTGACCTCAGGACCAACTATTGCACAGCAAGTCTGCCTGCTCAGCCTCATCTACCAACTCTCACTAGGGGCTGTGAACAGCAGAAAAATGGTGTTCCAAGCCCCACTGCACCTGAGTGTCAGGAAGGCTACCTGATAGACACTGAACACTGCGATCATCTTCAGTCTGGAATCCAGCCCCATTTTGGTCTGGAACATAAACAGAATGGGATTCAGTTTTGCTGAAACTTCAAACTTTCACATTCTTTGTATTAGCACATACCAAGGGCACCAGAAACCAGCAACGGATCCAGTATATTTTCCAGACATCTAAGGCACAAAATTCAGACACTCCAGAATCTCCAAGGAACAGCATAGGCATGGTGTGCTTGCTTCATAGAATGCTTTCTTTTTTTCTCATTTCTGATTCCTCCAAAACCTGCTGAATTTTAGCTTCAGATCTTTTTTTGTATGCAGAACTGAATTAAAAACACCACCCAAGGAAATATACCTTACTAGAGGTTTATTCTATGGACTCACGCAACGCTAGACTAAATGCATCAAATCTTATTTGTAAATTCTCAATTTTGATATATAGATATATGTATATATGCATATGCATATCCACACTTGTCTGCAAGAACATTGATTAAAAGTGTTCAGTTTGTACTTGTTCACTAGATAATGTGTGCTGGACTTTTTGGACAAAGGTGCAATTTGCCTGCTTCTTTTAGATGTGTCCTGGGTATAAGTCTCTGCAGAACATAGTGCCAGCGTGAAGGTGTGAGCTCTTCTAGTGAGTGTTGCTAGACTCTGCTGAAGGTGGGGAGGCTGAGATATTGTCTGCAAATAACTGCTCTTCATTTCTGTAAAACAAATGCTTTTCTCTTCGGACACCATCTTTCCATTCCTATGGGAAAATGTCTACATTACCTCTCTTAAGACCTATTGCTTATGTTTCCAGACAAATTTATATATATATTTTGGCGGAACTGGGGATTGAACTCAGGCCCTTGTGCTTGCCAGGGAAGCGCTTATTCCACTGAGCCATCTCCCCAACCCTGACAAATTGATATTTTAGGTCCCAAGTGATTTTCAAAGCTTTGCTTTAAAAGTTATTTTCCTCTTTTCTTTCTACCCCACATCTACTCATTGAAACACAAGTGTCTTCTCCATTTACCTGTGGCGCTTGAGGGCTTATTGAGGCATTTTGTTGACGTTGTTGAAACATGCTGCTTTTACTCTGTGTATGGCTCACCTAAGTCCCCTGGAAAGTCCTGTGGAATGAAGGACTTGTGCCCCTGTACTCATGTTTAAGCATTGGAGAAGCAGTCATGGAGATGGGCTGATAGCAGGCACTGTATAGGGACTTTGATGGCACCCAGTATAAACCACTTGGTGGCTGAGCAGAGCTCTGGCACCTGGGGTTTATTATTTCCAGGGCCAGCATTGCACTGAGGTGAAACCTCATGTGTCTGGTTGTTCTTAAGGTAAAATCGACAAGAAGAAAATAAATTTGCAGGGTCTGTCTAATGGGGCTGTGATGTTTGGTATCATCAAATTCCACCATCACCTTTTAACAGTAAACAGCAAAGAAAATGCAAACATTTAATTTTTCTTTTTTCTTTTCTTTTTCTTTTTCTTTTTTTTTTTTTTTTTTTTTTTTTTGTGGTACCAGAGATTGAATTTAGGAACTTACACTTGCCAGGCAAGCACTTATTCCACTGAGCTATCTCTCCTGCCCCTAATTTTTATTTTTTAAAGAGAGTAGAAAATTGTATTAAAACAGAAAAAGGTAGAAGTGGTAGAGAATTTCACTTAACAAATTAGTATGAATTTCATAGTATTTGTTGTAATTCATAGTGTTGTCTTCCAAACAGTTGTTCATATTACCAGATATATATA